AATGCCTCATAAGAGTCAATAATACAAAAGGGGCAACAGATAATGGACAATCTTTGAATAAATCAATATGATGTGCGTATACAACAACTTGAAGCACTTTTTACATCATCGTTGAAAAAGGTTTATTTAAGACATAATTTCCATCTCTTCGTTAATTAGATGGGAATATAGCTTCGTTTGATACTGTTCTCTACGCAAAAAACTATATTATAAGAATTGACGCATTATGCATGAGCACTAGAGCTCTTAGGCTTAGCCCAATTGGTTTGTATGGCGCATTACTAGGCGAATGACCTGGGTTCAATGCATAAAAATAAGATAAAATTAACCCCCAAAATAAAAAAAAAACGGTGTTGTTGGACACCAAAACATATATCCATTTCAAGAGCAAGTCCTCAATTATAAGAATAAGATTGTTGTGACACTCTAAATCCCATTTTGGAATGGAAGAGTAAATGTGATTGATAAATAATTGTTATGACTAACCATTATTAATAACTTAAATTTAAATTTTGAAAATTTATAAACCTTAGTTTAAAGAATTGTTAGACCGGTAACGAGTTTCAGTCCAACTCGTTTCAATTGCCTAAATAATTTTTCTTTTTGCTCCACAATTTGTTAAAAAAATAAAATATATCAACATAAAGTCATCAATCATAAAAATTTTCTATTTTTCACACCACAATTATGGTTTCACACATAAACTTGTAGTAAAGGTTACGTGCCCACGGCACCAATTACCCTTCTTTCAAGTTTCAATACTTTTTTATTAGTGAAGACTAAAGTTATCAACAAAGTAACTTTAGACTAAGACAAAGAAAAAATAAAAAAGATTGCCAACCACTTAAATAGTTCATTGACAATTTTTATCTTATAAAAATAAAAGATTTTAAATCCAAATTATATGATATATGAATAGAATGGGATCAAGGGATGAGAGATGATTACTTCTTATTGTACAACTCAAGATAAAAAAAAAAAAAAAAACTAAGTCATTTTCATCTTCTTTTTAACTTTTTTAAATATGGAATTAGGAATATTGTAAATAAACATATTTTGAATCTAGTCTTTTCCAGCATGAATTGCTAAGGATTGTAAAAGTAAACAAAGTTATTATTTTTTTTTTTTAAGATCTTATAAAAGGTTATATAAGAGAAAATAGCATTTTTTTTCAAATTTTCCATCACCTAACTCAAGGTTTGAATTTGAAATTTTTAACTTTACATATCAAGTTTCTAACTAGTTGAGTCACCTTTCAAGGGGTCTAAATAAAGCTAAGTCACTCACAATGTAATTTTATAATAATGATTATAAAATTTTGTAATTATCCTAGAATAGTAGTCATTTACTAAAAATTTATTTTAGATTAATTATCATCTTTCAATTTTAATCGAAGGACAAATATTTCTTTTTCTCATTTTATAGTTATTGTTATCTCTTAAAATCTTTTCTTTATACTTATATTTAACAATGCATCTTTTCTCCCATATTTATATTGACAATGCTATGATTATAATTATAATGTTACATAACATTGTTAAGATTACAATTATGACATGGTATAAATATAATGTGATATAAATATGGCATAATATTAAATAAATAAATATACATAATATTAAAAGTAAATCTCTGAATAAAATAAGTTAATTATATAATAATATATCATATTATAAATTTATAATATCATATAACATTATAACTACGTCATTTTCTAAGCAATTTCCTCAAGAGAAAAATAATCTTCAACAACCGAACAAGACTACAACCAAACACTTATCTCGTCCATCCTGTTCTTTCAACAACCTGCTTTAGTTATATTGTTATGATGATAAAGGTAAACGCTTTCCTCAAGTTTTCCTCACGAAACCAATAATTAAAATGGTTAGTCTTATAATTATATGGACAATCATCCATACAAAGTCATAAATATTTAACTTTTCACACGTTAACCACCACCAAACCAACGTGTAGAAACTAGGAAATTGTCGAATATTGTAAAACGTGTTATAAGTGTTAGAAAAGAATAGATAGAGAACTGGATGAAGAGTGACGGTATTCTTCGCAGAAATTGCATTAGATATACAGTGCTGTGCTATTCTATTCTGTACAATGATTTTCTTCGTTCTCTGATTTTTCATCATCTCTAATTGCTCAGTCTTCTTGATTTCACACGTGTAAGAGCAGGTCCGAGGTGCCCAACCTCGGACGTATGACAGTAATTCCTTTACAACCAGAGTGAAGAGTAAATCCAGAGCTTCCCGCTCGAACAGCTACACAGCAGTTATGATGGACGTCCTTGCATCTAAATATATCTCAATCTCCCGGTCCCGAAATAACCGTCTAGAGATACACATCAGATCCCGAATATCTTGCGTGGCTTAATTTCCCGGTCCCGAAATAACTGCTTGGAGATACACATCAGATCCCGAGCATTTTGCTTGGCATGCCACGTGGGTTCTTCATCGGAACATATAAATACCCCGCAAGGGCCACGCCAAAAGGTAATTAAAACCAACCCTTAGCTCCTTGTTTCTCCACCCTAAAGGTAGCCCCGATTATTGCTGACTTAAGCATCGGAGTGTCTACCCCGAGGACCTGCCTCGGGGCTTTGCAAGTCAATTCGGAGTGCATACGTGGACTGAAGAAGGACATCTGGTTTGGTGCAATTACATCTGGCGCCGTCTGTGGGAAACCGAATTGAAAGCTCTTTTGTCGCTCTCTCATCATGGTTCATACTCGATCAGCCCGAGCTGGAAACTCATCTCAGCCTCTTGGACGAGGTCAAGCCCCCAGCAACCTACCACCTCC